ATACCACCCATCTTGTTTCAGGTTATTTGCTTCCGTTTTTTTTTTTTTTTGGTCAGTTTGTCCGGTGGTTTGTTGATTTTGTTGATCTTTTCAAAGAACCAACTTTAGGTCTTGTTGACTCAATTGTTTTTCTATTCCCTATTTATTTCTGCTGTAATCTTTATTATAATTTCTTTTCTTCTGGTGCCTGAGGACTTCTTTTGCTATTTTTTTCAAGTTGTAGGGTTAATGTTTTGATTTTGGCCCTTTCTTCTTTTTGGATGTGTGCATTTATTGCTATAAATTGACCTTCAGGCACTGCTTTTGCTGTGTTCCAAAGGTTCTGGTAAGATGTGTTTTCATTCTCATTTGATTCTATGAATTTCTTTATTCCATCCTTGATTTTGTTCATTCTTTTGCCCATAGAATCCTTCAGTATTGCAACCTGAGGCCTGAATTTTTCTTCAGCGCTTTCAGCTTGAGAAATGTTGAACGTGGTCTTCCCTTTTTGTTCTTCCCTTCCAAGTCTTTTCACATTTCATTATAATACAGATTACTCAAAGGTAATAAAATAAATACAATGAAAAGTATTAAACTTTAGCTAGATAATATTGCTTGCCAAAGGTTCTGAGCCCAAGGTCTGTCTTCCTTTATTTGAAAGGGAAATTGATCAGGTTTGAAGACATACTAGCACCATGTGAAACTTTCTCTTTCAGGAAATATGATGGATTAAAAATAAAATTGAAAAGAGTATCTTTTTTTCTCTATTAACTATTCTAGTGCTTTTAATTCCAAGCGGTACTCATCCGTCTTTTGAGAAACTCATTGTGTTTATAGTCTATGTGAGGAATTAAGTACTTGATTGACTGGCCTTTTGTGAAAACCCCTTTCTAGGATGTGATAAGAACCGCCCCCCCCCCCCGCCCCGACCAAGAAGTAGTTGGCACTGTCCCTACATCCAAGGAGGGAGTAATCTGATAATCCCAGATGAGTCATGATAAATGTATAGAAGCAAGTGTGCCGGAAATGTCAAGTACTTAACACTAGAACGTGTGCTGCAGAGGGAAGAAGACAAGTAATTGTCTGTTTTGTTCACTGGTGGATCTGTAGCTCTTAGAAGAATGCTTGGCTCAGAGTAAGCAGTCAACAAATACCCACTGAGTCAAAGAACACAAAGCACATTCCCCTGTCTCCTGGTGGTAATATAAACCCAAGGATCATGGTTGAGAAATGGGCTGGCACAGCCTGGAGAGGTTACAGTGAAGCAAGACTTGTACAACATCTTGAAGGGTAGGCACAAAGCAGCCACATACGGGCGCACACACACGCACACGTGATGGCTCAGAACAGAAGGTTCATAGTACATATGAAAGCAGTGGGTTAAGTTTGGTCAAGGTTGTGACCATGGAACAGCCTCAAAAATGCAAAACTACCCTCTAACTTGAATAAATGTTCCCTTTTCTTCAGACCCTTCTTCCTTCCCCTTCTTATTCACAAACATCACACATTTAAGATGCATACACACCCTGCCAAGCGGAACTGTTTCAGCAAGACAAACTGTCTTCTGATTTAGGAGTGATACCTTCTATTACTTTTTGAGAAATCCAGCTCTATGTAGGTAAATTGTTTAGAAATTTTATTGTATTTCCTCAGTTGTTAAGGAGGGCTCCTAAAAACTTCGTAGCTAGTTATGTGATTTTACATATTTCCCTGTGCTATTTTTGTTAAATTGAGTCATTGTTCCTCTGGTATACGTTTGTCATAACACGATTTGCTGCTCTAGAGATAGCAGTCTCAGGTGATACTTTTAAAGAATAAAGAAGAGAAGCAGATCAGCAGGATAGTAAATATAGGCAATAAAGTGGGAACTTAAGCTGTTGCTGGTACTTCTGAGCTAGCTGGCCCTGGCCTCTGGATCTCTCCACAAAGGGGAGTGCTCCTGATGAGGCAGCTCCGCCCCACACCAACTGGCCTCAAGGCAAGGAAGATTTGCTCGGGCACATAGGCTTTGTGAAGGGTTTCCATTCTCAGAAATACGACTCCATAATTTAGTTTGAGTATTTCCCATATTGTGAAAGTCATACTAAATCTTCAGCTCAAGTATAAAAACTTAGTATACCTGGAAAATGTTTTTCAGTTGATCTTTTTGTCTTCTTTCACAGTAAAGCTAATTTTAAAACATGGACGAATAAGGGCTTAGGCCAAACCCTGAGCCAAGGTTAGAATCTTGTTAATTTACTGAACCTCAAACCTAACTCCATGTTTTTAAAACCTAGACTGTTAACTTCTTTCTTTAAAAAGAAAAAAACAAAACAGACATAACTAATGAAGCACACTGCCCTCAAGCTGATTGCAACTCATAGTGACCCCATAGGGTTTCCAGAGCTGGTAAATCTTTTAGAGAGGCAGTCTGCCACATCTTTTTCCTGTAGAGCCGCTGACCTTTCAGTTAGCGGTCAAGCGCTTTAACTACTGTGCTACCAGGGCTCCTGGAAGGAAGCACAGTAGCAGGAACCAAAATCATGTTTTCTAAAGTGGGTGAAGTAGCACTGCAAAAGATTCCTAAAATTGAACTTTTGTTAAAACTAAAGCTTCATTAATAATCATCTCTGCTGCAGTCTACCTCAGAACTTGGTTGCATCTCTAGGAAAGGGTGTGCTTTGCTGATCCAGAGCCCATGGATTCCTGACCAAGCTCTCCGCCTCTGCCGCTGTTGTGTGGAAAAGGCTGAACTTCCATGTGAACTAATGAAACTATGTGTCTGTCTTTCAGGTTCAGTACTTCTTCAAGATCTTGGATAATTAGCAGCATAGAAAGCAAAGAAGTCATGGATTGGGACTTACAGACACGAGACAGTCACACACATGAGGAATGTGTTCATTCTTTTATTGTCCATTGTTTTAACCTGACTGAATACAAGATCAATAAGAGCACTGTACTCCTGGCAATTATTACATATTAGAACATGGATTTTGCACTTTAGACAACATTTAACACCAGTCTATGGGGTACTGCATTGCTTTGTATAAAGTTCAAAATAAAGATTTATTTTCAAACAAGTGACTTTGGTTTATTTCATACATTACACTTTTTCTTGCAGAAAATAATAAAATTATACAACTGCATAAATATATAAAATTCTTCCACCATGAAAATGGTTAAAACATTCGTAAAGACACAGCACCAGCACGTGATGCCTCCAGAGAAAGGAAAAAAAGGAAAGTAAAAGAAAATGCAGAAAGCAAATTAATTAGCCCAATCACCAGCCCAAGTGACAGGCTAAGCCAGATCTCACACAGCATCAGAACATACTGGAGGACAAGGGAAGAGATGTCAAGACAGCATTCAGTACAAAGCACAACACAACCCACCACCTTTTGTATTCTTCTGCAGTTTCACTTAAAATTTAAAGGGCAGTTCCCCCATGACAGCCCTCCCACCCCAGCCCCAGGAAAAAAATAATAAACTAAGACCTAACACCACAGGAGAAAGACTATGGAGTGTGTTAAAAATGCTCATTGATGGTCATTATTTTTTAAAGAAAGAAAGAGCCAAACTCAAAAAAAGAAAAAGTTACCATGCCAGTTTTATTCCCATTGAATATTTACACCTTGGACAGCAAACCTTGCTCACATAAAGTAGAAAACAGATACGATAAAACATGGCTTGAAAAATGACCAGAGTATGCACCTATAGTACTGTACACTAAATAAAATGCACAAGGCAGCAATACTTAGGGGCCAGAAACACTGCGTACTACAAGTCAGTTATGGAATCATAATCTACATTAAAAATGGGCACGTACCAAGGCTCAATTTCTTTTGTCATTTACAGTAGAATAAATATGTTGTTGCTATTGCTACACTTTAAATTTACATTCTAACCTATTAAATGCAGAAAGCTAGTGTAAAGCATATAGATTAAGTGTAGGTCCCATACGTATGACGGTTTGTTCAAGACTAGTAGGTTTTTTGTTTTTGTATCGTTTTTTAACTTTTTAATGGCTAGTGAGAAAGATTTGTGCTTGTGATCAGCTCTTAACTTCAATTTTTACATCAAAGCGTCCCTGAAAACGGTCTTTCTCACTGTACCCAATGTTCTCCCCATATGCCTTACACTCTATGCGAATTTCAGTGTCCATGGTGAGGTTGGTGAACTGTACAGCCAGCAGGGGCTGCAGGTACTTGGGCTGCAGGAGTTTGCCGTAGTAGGGATAATACTGCAGAGGAAAACCAGGGTAGCCGCCCAGTCCAAAGTACTCCACATTTCCAATTTTATCCTTATCTTCGTCACGCTAAAAACCAGAGTGAAATGCATTTTAGTTGCTCACATCATGGATCACTACTTGCGCTCACATACAAACACAGCTCTACCCTACAGAGCACAGCTTGCAGACTACAGGGAACATACAAGTCATCCTCTGACATACCTAGCTCAAACCTCTCCCAGAAGCAGTTGAACATCATTAACCACAGGAACACATTGGAATGGTAGCTGACATGAGGGGAAATAACATATGCTCAGTGTAGCCCAGAGCAGTCTTGAGAAATGGTCATAAAAGGAGGCTATTCTCAGTGTACAAATAAATGGGGAAACCGAGGCAGATGCCAACATTCCTCCAAGCCAACACAACCTCTAGAAACAGGGCCAACATTCAAAGTCAGTTTTATTTTTTCTCCCAAGGTCTCGGTCCCCTGTTGCTGACCCTGTTGCCATGGAGTTGATTCCGACTCACAGCAACCCTATAGGACAGAGTAGAACTGCGCCATAGGGTTTCTAAGGAGTGGCTGGTAGATTCGAACTGCTGGCCTTTTGGTTAGCAACTGAGCTCTTAACCACTGTGCCCCCAGGGCTAGTGGATGATATTTCCAGTGATATTTTCTGTAAAGGTTTAACTCTTTGCCTCATTTTCTTGTATACATTTCCTTTCTTGGCGTCAGCATAAAATAGCACAGTTGGAGATTCTTTCTGCTGCCATCTCTCTCTACACAATCCATCAGGTACCTGGTTTTTAGATCTAAAGGGAATATGTGCTGACGCTACCCTAATCTTTCAATTTTTCTTAAAGAGAAGCTAAAACCACAAATTTTTATGTGAAATTGTCGGTTTAAAATAATGTTGGTCTCAAATCTTTAACACACTAGGTAGGCCAAAGAAGCACTTCTGTGGCCTAGTTCACCTCTCAGTTATATAAATCAATAGTTTCAATTGATTAAATTCACGTTTCAGTTTCTTGTTCCAGTGGAAAAACTTATGGACAGAAGAGCAAGTCTGACATGATTTTATTCTTACTGCCTATTTCTGTCCTCTTAAGAAGTTTCTGCAGTGTAGCTACAACTCAACTGACTAACACCTGGAAGCAATGTTCCCTATATTAAGATTTTACCTCTAACTTAGAACAATCTCCCGTGTTCTCCCCTCTTCCCATACCCACCCACCTCAGTAACCCTCCTAAATGTCTTTTTACCTTGCCAGTGCACTGAACAGGCAGAACATAAGGACTATACTTCATCATTGGGTAAGCTTCCAAAGACTCATTCTTGGGAGGCTAAAAATAAAACCCACATTGGTCAGTAAGATTATGAATAATCTGTAAAATGTCTGAAAAATAAAACTAGTTTGTAGCCCAAACAAGTACACATTGGTCACAATGAATCAACTGAAGCAACACTTCAGGATAGGAGAATGAACAACCCCCCTTCACCAATCTAGGGAAGGTGACATTTATGATTTCCTTGAAATGAAGTGCCCAAGTGTCATGACCATTACAATTATGCTGTATTCCTGTAGTAAATGGAACTTATAATGGTGACCCATTAAAAGCTTTACTCAAGGACACTTAAAAATAAGAGTTGACCCAGAAACAATACTCATTGTTTTATTTGATTATAATAATTGGATGGGAAAGTTGACTGACATTTCTGTTTTTAAAAAACTTGGGCTTTCCTCCTGAGCCATGAATAAATGATGCCATCCTTTTCTCTCAAGCCGGCCTTCTTCAAGTAAGCTTTCCTTTCTTGTTTTTTTGAAGCACCAGTAGAGGCACTGCCATTGAAGGAGAGCTTTCGTTCTAATAGGAAAGTACAGTATGTAAAACAGGTAAAGCAGGCATTGCCCTCAGTGAAGGGTGTGGTGAAGGGGGGCGAATCCACCGAGGAGACCCCATAGAGTAGCCTGAAAAGTACTGCTGTAGTAAAGTATACAGAGCCTTTTCTCCTGTATCCCTCGCTTGAATGTACCTCAGAAGTGTGATAAACATACCACTGGAAGATAGCCAGTTGCTTACATCAGTGAAGCATATGAGTCCTGACATGAGATGTAACATATACATAGCCTAATCAGAGATAAAGTGGACAGTTTTCTATACCAGTAAGTGACTGATATTTTGGCACTATGCTTTTTGTTTTGGAGTATAAAAGAATGTGTATCCAGATTTGATTCTTTGGAAACTTTCTGCCAGCAACATATTTATCTTTGAAAATATAAAGAGAAAATAATTTTTGATTAAAAAAAAAAAAAGTTGCCAGAATCTCTCCTCAGAAGGCGAGGAAAGAAGCACATAAAGTGAGATTATGGGGCACTACAATCTCTGACAACGACAAAGGTGTTGGGAATGGGGTTGGGGTGATGAATTAGCAAGTGGCAATATATAATCAAATAGAGACCAAGGGAAAAAAAACTGCAGAAAAAAAAGAGTAGCTGAATTCATCACTTAACAGAATATGTCTATGGATGTGGGGACAGATGTGAATCACAGCAGACTGAATGCCTCCGTGGGGACATCAAATATCACTCAAAGTCTATGAAGAGGAATATCAAAAGTGAGAGATCCAGAGAGCATAGATTAGGATCAGTCTTCTTTGCACCAATTCCCTGATTGCTAAATCATCATTTTATTATATAAATGCAAAGCTGATTAATCTTGGTGAAGTGTTCCCTAGCAATGGGAATACCAAATAGTATGACATAATGGCTCTCATAATTTTTCTCCCATTATATCCTAATCTAAGTGGAAAGAAGGTTAAAATTCTGCAGAGAGGTACATTAATTTCTCCAGGAGATGCATCAAGCCAGCCACATAACCATCCATCCACCCCTCTATTTTTGTCTCTGGTGGCAGTAAAGGAAGTTTGACGCATCCTTCAGGTAACAAGCAAGGAATATTTTTCTAAAACTTTTTATCTCTACAATTAATTTTCTTTTGAAAATATTATTCATGAGTGACAAGTGTTGTGGAAACAAATGAATAGCATTTGATAGAAAATTATAAAGAGCCAGATTTCAGAAAGGAAGAAGTAAATTTGTTCAAGTAATATTTCCCCATTATCAGGTGCAATAATACTCAAAGCCAAAAGCATGATTATCAAAGTTCAACTTCTGATTTTACTGTACTTTATCCAAAACGTGAATAGCTCAAAGAAACTTTATGATTTAAAATACTACTTGCCTTAGGTTTGAAGCCTAGAACTCGGTTGAGCTTGATAATGACACAAGGTTTGCCCTCTTTGTAGCCAAAAGACTCATCGTTTAGTCCTGAGCAATTTCCCAGCCACTCCAGCTTGAACCTGCAGACTTTTCGCTCTCCGCGTTCATTGTTATATTCGCCTCGTTCTTTGATGTCGCTGGGCACATCTGAAAATGCAAACACCAGTTTTACATCATACCAGCAATTTCCTTACCACCACTGAAAGAAGGCAAAGAACTTTCTTCCTTGTCACCATTGCCTATTTTAAGACAGTGCTATTCTGCATTTAATGCATTGTCTAAATTAAGTATTTCCAGCAAGTCATCTCTTCACTGACATTAAAAAGTATTTTACCAAGAGCGATTTCCCTTCAAATGGTAAATGATCCCATACCAACAGCTTCATAGCACTTGATGATCAGCATGTTAATGTTGGTCTCTGGTAATATTTCTCTTCCTTTAAATAATGGATTACTCAGCTATTTAGAAGACTGAAAGAAAATTAGATCCCTCTTCATGAGTAGCATCATTTATACGGGTCAACATCAGCTTAGCTCAGTAACAGTGACATTATCATTAAAACACAAATTAAAAGG